GTTCAGGGGAGTGTTGTAGCACTCGGAAAGACCAGTCTGGGTCTCAAGACCGGTCTCGAGACCACTATTTGGAGGTCTTGGTCTGAACTTGGAATTGAAAGCATTTTTACTTGGTCTCGGTCTCAAACTGGGCTGACTCCAGATTTTAAATCAACACCGGTCAAAACCACCATGGTAGGAGAACGCCTCCCTCTATGAGAGCGAATAACTTCAAGTCATTCATAATTTGATTTTTAACCCCCGGGTTAGGGCTGCAACCTTTCCGGTGTTACGGTCTAAATGAGTGACATGGCTGCTGCACACAAGATGATGATTTTTCATTGATACTTATGGTCTTGGTCCTGCCTTGCCTTGGTCTTGGTCTCGATCCCTAAATGTCTTGGTCCTGTCTCGGTCTTGCAGCACTCTGGTCTCGGGTGTGTCTTGGTCTCGTTAGTGTGGTCTCGACTACAACACTAGCTCAGGGCTCAACATTTGCAGCATGCTCCGGACTATCTTACCCCTCCTGCTCTCTCCCTTCATGCCCTTCTTATATGAGACAAAACATTTCTGCATCCACGCTTTTTTCCGAAAGACTTTCAGTGTTCAGCCACAGCAGGAGAACATCTTTTATCTGTCGCCCTAATAACTTAAAATAAGATCTTAAGGACACTCAAGGAAAGTACAGTATGTACCTTTGCAGAATCATAGCTCGAGTGTAAGAATATCAACCGAGAATATCGTCAGAATTCCCCTCAAGGCAGCAGAGCAGAATAAATGGGGCCACCGGCACACAAAGTGTCCGCAGCAGATACAGTGTAAAAATAAATGCATGAAGCCAGCGGAGCCTCAGAGAAGCAGAAACTGTAGGTTGTGTTCTGGCAGGCTGATGCAAGACAGAAATATGGGCAGAGCTCCAGATAAAATGTCCCAGTTAGACTGCAGCACAATGATGAAGGAGGAAACTATCGCACACCGCTCCACTAGCTCGTCGTCGTGCGTTATGACAGCATTTTACAGAGCACAGATTTTCTTTAAGAGCACACAGCAGGGCCTTCAACCCAGCTCAATAGGCGGTTCAATAAAATTAACATTGATTATGATGATTCAGTACACTTCTTCTATTGATGCCAAATTAGTGAAGAGAAAATCATTTTGGATTTAAAGACGCAATATGTTGAGTTTTTACTCTAAAATATCAAATTAATTAAAAATGGACTAAACCTGTGTTGTTGTTTTTTGTTGAGTACTTACAAACTTAATTTGATAGTTGTACTGTCCCTTGTCTTATGACATGTTTACCGTTGCCATGGAAACCCCGGATGTTACGTCAAAGGCCGCTACATAAGGAACCGTGAGCTGCTGCTGAAAGCTGCCTTACTGTTGCTGTATGAGCTGCTGTTATAAAAATGTCATGTCGATTATACTCGGATACATTCGTACACTCGTCAGTAAACATTTTCTCTTCCTCAGGTCGGTTTCACCAGCTCGTCTAGACTACGGTCGACTTGGATTTTGTTTTCATCAGGGGGTTGATGTGGGGGGTGGAGTAGCAGAGAGAATCACTCCCATGATTCCCCATTAGCCTTGTCATTGTTTTGATTGAGAGCCCCCTGGTGGTGAAGTTTGCATACTGTGTGTTTATTTGGATTCAGGAGGGACATGATGCAAACTAAGTTATTATCGCATTATTGAACAAGGTTATTGCACGCCAAGTTTTTTTCTCATATCGTGAAGGCTTACTTAAAAACTGAACCATGGGGCACCATGTGGACATGACAGTGGACAGAATCAGAAACCAGGGGGAGGGAGAGAGAGAGGAGAGAGAGAGAGAGAGAGAGAGAGTGGGGTGGGGTTTGATTCAAACCTGGGCCGCCTGCTCTTGAGGACTTAAGCCTCCGTACGTTGGGCGTGTGCACTCACCACTAGGCTACCGGCCCCCTAAAGACTCATTTTTTAACATTGCGTAATTTATGTGGCTAATCAAATAAGTAATTATAGAAAATATTATTGCGATCATATTTTGTGTTAAATCACCCACTCCACCCTTACTGTGTTTTAATCCAAGTTAAAGTGTGCCAAATCCACGCACGCACGCAGAAGAACACATCTGGCCTGTAAGAGACCCAGAGTAGGACACTGCCAGCTGGCTAAAATTCAACTTTTCACCCCCTGGGATCAGTTCTCCCACAGGCCAAATATGGAAGAGACGCGTCCCTCCATCTACCCCAACGGGACTGTACTACACACGCACACACACATCGACACACACACACAAACACACACACACACACAACCACACGCACATACAATAGGAGCAAAAGCATTAGCCTTATGTGGTCACATGTGGCTGATGGTTAAGTCAAACAGCACATCTATGGTCGCTATGGAGACCACAGACTGTGCGTGTGTGTTTGTGTGTGTGGATCTGTGAGTCTTGGATTTGAGGAATATCCCTCTCCCTCCCTTCACCATGACAACAGAGAGAGTTCAGAGGTCAGAGCAGCGATGGTTAATCCAGTGGATCATGCTGAAGACTGGCTGAGAGAGTGAGCCGGAGAGTGGGCGAGAGAGGATCTTTGTAGTGCAGAGAAAGAGAGATAGAGAAAGGGGATGGGCTCAGATAAAAGAAATGTGGGTGAGTGATCAGGAGAACGAGTGCGAGTCTTGAGCAGCGCTTTGTCCTTCGTTTATTTTTTTTATAAAATTTTGCTTGTTTCGAAATTTGATGTTTGCACACAAAAAAAGAACACATCCACAAGTAAGACGGAGCTGTAGCATGATAAAAGAACTACAATGACCACAATCCCAACACTCACTATGTTAACATGCACAGTTTAATTGAGCTAGGCCATTCAATTGGATGACTGTCCTTGTCCCAGATTACAAGCACCGGGGGAAAATCGATTTATCGACAGAATAGGTCTGACTTCGGTCCAGTAGGTGGCGTTATTTCCACCTTTAGCTAGTTACTATTTGACCATCTTCTGGTTGACCTACTACGTCACATACCAAACAATCCAAACAACATATAGTACTTCAACATGTTTAACTCCTTCAGGTGACACAACATAAACTGTGTCTCCTCGTGTGTCCAATAAATCGCTGTTTTCGCTCCAGCACTCGCCCTTTTGAAACCTTTGTTTTGTTTTCTACTCGGCTTTCTTCGCTGCTCGAACTGTGGAGCATGCTCAGAACGCTAAGTGACACCATGTGTTTGAATGAGGTGTTTATATGCAAGAGGAAATCGACCACCAACCGCATCATCGAGGTGTGTTAGTCCGACTTTGAGAAATTCAACTTGCAATTTCTGCTGACTAACATGTTAACAAGGATTTTCATTTTAGGGGCGATTTCACATTAGGCACGATCGCTCCCCCCTCCCCCCCCGGTCTGTGTTCACATTAGTAACACTGTTCCATGCCCGAGTACACCTGTGTATGTACACACTCTGATAGCAGGTGGCAATACGCACATAGTTGGTTTGCAAATCCGCCAAACAGCAGAAAGAAGAAGAAGCAACCATGGCAACCACTCGCAGTCTGAGTCAATCCTGCTAACTGTGGATGTTTTTGTTATTTCTGAGACGCCAACAACGACCCTCTTTCTACTTCCAGAGTCTACCGTGCAGCTCAGAGGACGAAACCGGCCCGTGCTGCGAGGATACAAAGGTTTTCCTACCTTGTTTGATGCTGGAAAGATGCTGTGCTAACGTTGTTGCCTCAGTGGTTCAACACTAACAGATACTCTGTTGAGTATTTGAGGCTGATTCAGTAAACATAGGAGCGATCTGTTCAACTGTAGAGATCGTGATTCAGCCTAACAAGATATTGATTAGTGATCGATTAAACATGGACGCTGTGATGAAGGAACACACATGTTCCACCTGATATGGATTGCTGCTCCCTTCAGGGCACACTTATTGATAGATCGAGGATTTATTCATACGTTTCTTTAGTCAGCGTTTAGTTTAACAAATGGGCATCCTAAAAACTCTTACTAACATCCAAATAATCAGTGAGTATGTTCTTCTTCTTCTCTCTAAAACAGCTTTTATACACAAGGGGAGGAGCCGGCCGTCCCGTCCATGTAAACACGGCTCTGACAACAACACAGCCAGCAGGACTCGAGCTTCTCACTCATTGTAGACAGTCATGACTCAGAGACACATTTACACAGGATAGACTTGATCTCTGATATATTTATGTGGAACATGTTGCACATTCTGCCTTTAAAGTGTCTGTGAAAGTGTGAGAAAATGTGTCTTTGTCAGAACAAAGCTGACAGAGTTTAATTGGTGTAAAAAAACACAGATATGAGTGAAGTTCTTGGTTCTTTTAAAGAAGATTAATTGAATTTATGGAGTCTTAACAGGCTTTATTCTGATATGTTGAAATGGTGTCTAACTTGATTATATTTTCTGGAAAACAAAAACAAATTCTTGCAGAGAGTCCACAAAGAGTGCAGAGAGTAGAAATTCAGTGTTTCAGATTTTGGACATAATAAGGCTGAGAGTGAATAAAAACACATTTTGATTGTGCTCAGATCCTGTAGGATGACGTGCGTGTTTAACTATGTGTGCGTAAATGTATGGACAGTTTGTATTCGGGTTACAGAGAGAACTCTCCCTGATTTAATTATGCAGATTTTAGATAAACATTTCAGTAATGTGTGTGTGTGTGTGTGTGTGTGTGTGTGTGTGTGTGTGTGTGTGTGTGTGTGTGTGTGTGTGTGTGTGCGTGTGTGTGTGTGTGTGTTGGATGACTGCATGTGTGAGTCTGATTCGATTTTCAAGTTCTTGCGTAACGTCCAGCGTGATGTAATTTAGTGAACTCAAGTAAAGCATATATAATGTGCATGGATGTGTGTGTGTGTGTGTGTGTGTGTGTGTGTGTGTGTGTTTGCTAGGGTGAAAACATGTGTGTGCATGTTGCGTTTAAAATGTGTAACTGGATCCTTGGACGTTCTGTGAGTTATCGTCAGGTAATTCTTAAGCCTGTAAATCCATCTGTGTCTCTCACCATGTGTACGAGGATGCTCTCTCCCGTGGGGTCGATGGCGAGCGCCTCGTCGTACAGGCCTTTAGCTTCATCCAGTTGGCCCCGCAGCTCGCCAGGCGGCCCCGCTGCAGCAGCACCGAGTGAGAGTTTGGGAAGAGCGCGCTGGCCTCGGCGATGCAGAACTGGGCCTCCTTTAGACGACCGTCAGCCATGAACAACTCACCTGAAGGAGGAGGCGGAGGGAAGGGAGAAAGGTGAGAGGAAGGAAGGGATAAGAGCATGTAGGATGGATGGTGAAGGATGAAGGAGGGAGTAAAAGGAAGGATAAGAGGTAAAAGATGAAGGGAGGGAAAGACATTAATCTCCTCAGATTTGAGTTTTTGTTTTTACTTTCTCCAAGCTGTTTTGGATAAGTAGAAGCTGATAAGAACAAATAATGAGTTCTCTTTGAACATGAGGCACTTTTATGAAAGCTTCCCTCAGATTAGTTTTACTGCACTGTACACAATCAAGCCATCAGGGTGCAACACCATCAGTCCCTGATCACTGAACATTGCTCTTTGAAAACCAAACTGCAGCTGACGCAACAAAACTAAAGACTTGGCTCTCACAAAATCAGTTCCTCCAGCTGTGTTATTTAGCAGTTCTTCTGCTCCTGCATGAAAAATAAAGAAGTCCTCAAACAGCCACGTCCTTAGCTGAGCCTCTTCTTGTGTTTAGTGACACAAGTTAGTTTGCATATGAACTAACAAACTTTATTATTATTATTACATAACACAAATAAAACAGCAGAATCAAAAATAATTTCATGAAGTTTCATCCACTTTTGTCTCTCAGATTGATGTGGAGTCATTTGGTTCCCATCTGTTTATTACACTGATCAACGTATTTATTGTTTTTCTCCCTTGTCGTATTCATAGAATGCTGTCTCAACTTTCAGTCAACCTAACGACAGGCTGAGAGCTGGAGCTGAGGCGGGTTTTAAGACTCCTGACAAACCGTTACACTGTGCCCACCTGTCAATCAGGTCAGCTACACGCCTTATTGTGAATAACTCTTATCCTTCATCAAATCAAAACTGATGAGTCATCAAAACATTCACCCCCGTACAGTGTGTGTCGATCGAGACATGAGCTAATCACACCTATTTGGTTTTTTGAACCAGGCTGTAAACATGTTGATCTGTGCTGTAAAAACAGGCTTTTTTGAATGGGTGTGTATGTGACTTCCTGTGCTTCTGCAGCCAGCCTCTAGTGGACACTCGAGGAACTGCAGGATTTTACACTGCCACAGTGGCTTTGTCTTTCTACACTGGAGGTTACAGCTTGGAAAATCTTCACAAAAAGTTGCTTATTTTATTTTCCTTCCGGGTGTCTTGCAGCCAATCTCAAGTGGACACTTGAGGAACAGCAGTTTTTCTGCACTTCGGCATTGGCTTAATTTCGGAGGTTGCCGCTTGCTCACATCCAACAGCGAGCACGTTGAAACCAATGCACTGAAGATGACATTCAAAACTTTAGACAGGAAACCTTTTCATTTTCACTCCAGAAATATTTTTAGGAAGTATTCTACAGAATGAAGAATAAGAGACACAAACCCTAAATCATAATGTCCACATATGATGACACAGGGTCACAGGAGCCTGAGAGTGAGACATTACTTATCTGTGAGCTTTATGTTAAACGTAATTTAGGCAACTTGGCAGCTTACACACACACAAACTTACACACACACACACACACACACACACACACACACACACACACACACACACACACACACACACACACAGCTTGAAAGAGAGTGTGGGAGTTGATGCAGTGCCTGGGAAGTCCTGAAAGTCTTGCCTAAATATGGACATCACAAAGTGAAGCTGCCTTTGTGTGCTGCTGAGGACAAAGCCCAGACACACACACGCATATACACACACAATTACGCCTACTAGCAAGTTGCTGTCCAATGAAGCAGGGACACAGATCTGAAGGCCCCGCCCCTGACGCTGGAGTTCACCAATATGTGGACGGGATTCCGACTCAGGGAGCCGTCAATCATTCTCAAAAGTGAACGCCAGGTCAACAATATTCAGCAGCCCCTGTGTGTGTCCTTCCCTGTGTGTGTCTTTCTCAGTGTGTGTGCGTTTGTTTACCTGTGTGTCATGGATACACAGATGGGAAACACTGAGTGCATTGTGCTCGCTCTGAGATGAAAAAATACATTTCTGGCTCCTTTCATGACTTCACTTTGTTGGAAATGATCCAGTGAACGCTGTCTGGTTATGTAAGCAAGCTTCCTGCTGCTCACCTGAGCTCTCAGATAAAACTGTCCGCTCACTGCGTGCATGCAGATCCTCTGTTTATACGCTCACAGGTTATCTTACATTTATGAAAAAGTTACGGGCATCCCGGTAAGATGCAGAAAAACTTTTTCCTGCATTAAAGCTCAGAAGTTGATAACAGTACCACTTTTAAATGATCTTCTACAACAACCATTAAAACTATGATTCATTCAGAGCTCTGCTGCCAGGCTTGTCACTAGAACAACATAGAAGGTTTACAGATGATGTCACAGGACACCAAAACTATTGAAACACCCCCCAAAAGCTTTGAGAGATTAACAGTCCATGCCACGCCTTAAAGGTCACATATTCTCCTCCTCTTCAACCAGTTTAAATAAATCTCAGAGCTCCTCAAAATTTGTCTGTGAAGTTTCTTGTTATAAAGCCACTCTGATCCTGTACTTTATCATGTCTATAAACCCCTCTATTTCAGCCCTGCTCAGAACAGGCTGTTTCTCTGTCTGTACCTTTAAATATGTAAATGAGCTGTGTTTGACCATGCCCCCTCTCTGGAAGGGCTCGGGTGTCTCAGGCTTTCTCGCTCCATGTCCTATTGTTTATGGTAAGAAGTAAGACTCAGAGTGCAGAACAAACACCTAGCTGTGGAAATGTCACCCACCTGGGGGAGGGGTTACTGCCCTTTGTGATGTCATGAAGGGAAAATGTCCAAACAGCCTGTTTGAGCACACATTTTCTGAAAAGTGGAGCAGGCAAAAGACGGGGAGGATGGACTTTTCTCATCATTGGGGGGTTTGTAGACAGACAGTGCAGTATTGAAAATGTAATTAAATGATTCCTTAACTTTTGGTCTTTACTCACGTTTTAGCGTTTTCTTGTGCTTGCTTTCAAATGCCTGTTTTGTCTGCTATTCATTTGACTTCTTGGTTTTATTGAACAGTTTCCACACTTGTTTTAATTCCATCTTATATACAGTTAATAAAGTTAAGTATCCCCATTCCAAAGACTTCACTCTGTATGTATTTTTGAGGCCAAACGAGGATGTGAGTCTGACGGAGGAAGTGACCGATGAGAGGAGGAATGCTGGGAAGGAAAAATCTCTGCTGTGCCCTGAGTTGAAGGACACACCCCAGTCATTTGGAGTTTAATTCAAATCAGCGAGTGTGTCCTGTTTTCTCAGCAGGGATCAAAGGTGGGACGCAAAAAATAACCTCCAAGTTACAGTAAAGCCACGGGGGACCAGACCCCCCTCCCCCCCATCATACTCTGGTATGCTTGTTGCATCACTGTTCTGCTCTTTGGATTCCTGTTCTCATGCCTCACACACTGCTGCTGCTGAGATGATGGCCGAGCTTGTTTGTGAGGAGTGGCTTCCTCTGTCGGACTGAGGCTGCAGGCTGGAGCTGATAATTGCATGCATCACTGACCATCTGACCTTAATAGCACATAGGCCACATGTATGCAGGTACGGCGTGCAGCGACAGAAGCTATGCAACGGTTTTTAGTATTTTAAATTGTTCAAAAATGTTTGAGAATACAGAAAACGGCTGCAGCAGTCACATTAAAGTAGTGTCACACACATGACAAGTTAGCAAAAGGATCATCTCTAGCTGAAAATGTTCTGTTGTGTAACATTTATTTCGATGTTATGACACAGAATTTCCAACCATTCATATAACAGCGAACCACCGAAGTGAATATCTGCGACTGCACTGCTTAAAAAATGTGTGCTTACATCAGTGAATTTTCCCCACAGAGATTGAAATCCAGCTGAGCTCATAATCAGGTCAGTCAGGCTTCACAGCCTGCGATGAGGAGATTTTTATTTAAAAGTTATCATCACATATTGAAATTTGATTCTACTTTAATCTGGATTAGTCTAAGGAGGTGAGGTCATCTCCACTGAGGCCAAACTATAGGGGTATGAGCAACAACAAGCAGAAACTTCTGGGTGTGATAAATGAACACAACTTTAACTTTATGTACCCAAACTGCAGTTCCTCCAGTGTCCACTAGAGTCTGTCTCCTGCAGTGAGTCAGTCCTCATAGAGCTCCATGTTAAAATGTCCAACTTTACAGCTGCAGTTCCTCCAGTGTCCACTACAGTCTGTCTCCTGCAGTGAGTCAGTCTCATAGAGCTCCATGTTAAAATAAACATGTTTACAGTCTGGTACAAAAACAGTTTGGGTCCCTAGAGATCATTTCTCTCTTCAACTGTACGGGCTGAATGTTTATACAACTCACCTGTTTACATTATATTAAGTCTAAAGTGATGTAGAATTAGGGGGCGTGGCCTCTTTGACAGGTGGGAGCTGCTAGCTGTCTGCTAGGTGTCACCTCAGCTAACTCAGTCCCTGACCTTTAACCTCTGAGCCTCTTGTAGGTTTTGCAGTGAGTGTAACAAATGAAACAATTTGGTTGGATTGGTTATCCCTTTCTTACCAGCCTGAAGCCAGATCCGTTCCAGTGTGGTCCAGATGTATGTGGGTCCTTGTCGTGGGGTGGAGCTGAGGTCAGACACCTCAGAGAGCGCCGCCTCCAGACGAGTTGCCGCAACTGATGAAGGGCTCTGCGAACCTGAGGAGAAGAGGGAGGGACGTGAAATACCGAACGCCACAAGGTTAATTGACTGGCGATAAAAACTGACCTACATCTCTCTCTCTGACGTTCACCATCAGCAGAGAAAAGGAGAATGTGTTTGACTTTTAAATAATATATTCAGCTTCATATTTCAGTCCAAATATTAAGGACATCCCTCTGACATGTAATAATAATGAAAGCCAATGAAAGCAAAGAGAGATCTGACCTGTGGAGGCGTCCTGGAAGTCCGGCAGTGTGAGGAAGATGGAGGGTTTCCTGCCTCCGGCGCTGACCTCCACCCTCTCAGCCATCGGTATACTGCTGCTGTCATCGGTCTCACTGCGACACACACACACGCACGTACACACGCACGCGCACACACACACAACATCGGTGATCGATACCTCCCAGCTCCATCATGCAGCAGTAAAAACATCTGGATCACTGTTTGCATGCACACAATAACCCATGCACATGCACACGCACACAGACATGCACACACACAGACACCCCCTGCGTCCTCTCTCACCTGGAGCGGCTGACGTCGTAGCGGCTCTGCCAGCTCTGCAGCATCTCCTCACAGGTCTGCAGGGCTGCAGCCGGGCCGAACAGAACCTCCTCCAGCTTCACCTTAGTGAACAGCAGACTGCACACGCACACACACACTGATGATTGTTGATTGATCTCGTGCTGCATTAAACTGTAAACAGTATTTTAGCCTGAAAAATCGAGTAGCCTCAGTCTAAACACAACGTTATAATAATATATTCTGATCTTTCTGAAGGGAGGCGGGTGTTACACTTCTTTGTTCCTTTCTCAGATCTGTGAAGTCTTTTGTGTTGCTTCTTTATTTTTTTATGGAGGGCAGTGATAAACATTAGTGCTGCCTTCTTAGATTAAAACTTGATAGTATGCACTCTACTTTGCTATAACTATTCTCGGTTATTAACACCTGAGAAGTATAAAAAATAGGTATTCACTTTGCACAGGATAAAAATCCTAAGTATGTACATAGTTTAAAAAATGAAGCTTTTTTCCCCTTTTTGTCTTTGTATCAGCTGGAGAATCATTAAGCCGAGGTGGCTGCTTTGAAGGGATACTTCACCCATTTGCATTTAGCTTTGTATCATTAGAAACCTGGTAGTATTTTTGAATGGTCGTGCATCCCGCCCTCATTTTCCCCTGAGATGGGAAATCTTTGTATTTCTAAGTCTGAAAAAGAGCTTCCAGTGACGCAAAATGACGATTCCAGTGACGCCCGCTGCGCGACACAAGACCGGCCTCTCGGCAGCAACCGTCTCACGGCTATCTTGCTATATTGCTGCCTGAAACTGTATCGATCGAATTTCCCTCTAGGATTAATAAAGTATTTCTGATTCTGAACTAGAGGACCTTAGTGGGAGTGGCCTGCTGTGCTGTGAATTCTGGGATTTGGTGTCTCTCATCCACAAGAGCCAAAAAGACACTTTCTGCCTTTTCACGGCCAAGAAGGCACCAACTTCAAAATTAATTTCACACTTCTACTACATATATGACCCAATGTCATTACTGATTCATGTTTCAATGGGTGAAGTATCCCTTTAAGTTTCATATCTATGTTAACAACACAGATGCAAAAATGTTTGGTCTCCCCAAACCCAACCTCACAGCGTGGAACAGTACAGCCAACACACGCAGTGCAACCACGAAAGAACGGGACATCACACAAACTAAATCAGCACCTCGCTCCTCCAAACTCTGGGCAAAGGTACAGAGCTCTGAGGTGCAGGAAGGCTCGCTTTGAGAGGGCCTGATCCCTGCAGCCGTACCTGCCCCTAACAGCCTCGACCTCACTGTGTAATGTAAACCTTTGTATTTCTCTGTGTTGTCACTGTTTGATGATTGCTGTCAGACCTGTACAGGGCTGGGAAGAAGTTCCTATTTGGGACAATCAAGTCTAAGCCTTAGATAAAAAGCAGTGTTTAATAACATCAGTCGATAAGGTAGAGCAAACCGAAAATGTCCTCAAATGAGCACGACAGGTTGTGCAAAATAAAGCTTGTTTTGTAAAAAAATTAAGAAAAAGGGGACGCCAAGTTTGCCTTACCCAAAAAGTTTTTTGGCTGCCTGGTTGAGCCTTTTCTCATTTTAATTTCATTTTGCATCTGCAGATCACTTTGTTGTTGTAACTGTTACTGTTGTTACTGCTTTTTTAAGGAAATGTAGATAAAAGTTCATTTTTTTTGTCATTGGTGTTTCAGAGCTTCTTCTCTTTGTCAGAATGTCAACATCTCACTGATGCTGCAAACTGAGGCTCACAAGGATCGATGGTTACAGAGAGATAATCATCAACAACAAGCTCAACGAGTGTGTGTTCAATGTGTGCATGGGTGTGGACCTGTATGTGTGTGTGAGTGTGTGTGTGTGTGTGTGTGTGTTGTGTGTTAAGTGGCTGATGAGTGGAGGCCATAGAGTGTTTCCGCTCGGCCCTTTTAGCTGAAGACAACTGGTTAAGTGATGTGGGAGTCTCTGATGAGTTTGTGTGTTTGCCTGTGTCTATGTGTGTGTGTGTGTGTGTGTGTGTGTGTGTGTGTGTGTGTGTGTAGTAATTGCCAGAAGGAGCTCTCAGAGGATGCAGTCTGTCATGGGCATCACTCATCCATGAGTGTAAAGAGAGAGAAGGAGAGAAGGAGAGAGAGCGAGATGCTCCGCGTGTTCATGAAGGTTCTTCTACTTATTCTGTGCTCAATGTCAGTGTGTGTGTGTGTGCATGTGTGTATGTGTGTGTGTTTGTAGGGTAGGAAAGGATAGGAGGAAAGGATGAAAGGATGGATGAAGGGGATCAGGATGAAGATCAATAGCAGAGTGAGACGAGCTTGTGTCAGGGGAGAGAACTCGTTGAAAAAGAGCTCATTACTGACTCACGGGTCGGTGGACGCATGGGAGAAGGGTGTGTGTGTGTGTGTGTGTGTGTGTGTGTGTGTGTGTGTGTGTGTGTGTGTGTGTGTGTGTGTGAGGAGAAGATGGAGGGATGTTGGAAAAGAGAAAATTGAAAGTGTGTGGGAGGAAGGGAGTCAGATTTTCTGACGTGCAACTGACAAGTGCTGCTGAGGGACGTGGTGTTAAAGATACGGCAGCCTGTCGGGTCCACAGGAGTGTGTCTGTGTGTGTGTGTGTGTGTGTGTGTGTGTGTGTGTGTCTGTGTGTGTGGGTCTCTAGGCTCCCCATTACCAGTGTGGCAGAGCATTTAGAAGCATTGTGATGGTGTTAAGCCATCCTCTTGTAAATGTGACAGTGTGTGTAACATGCGTGATGTCTCTTCTTGTGTATCCAGGATGTTCAACGTGAAGCAACAGAAGCAGCTACTTTCATCTCTCGTTTGAGTTTTATATAAATTCTGGTTTCATTAACAATTTATATCCAAACACTTCGGCCTGACACTTTTCCATCGCTGTTAAAAAACTGTCAGTGAAACTTCCTGCAGACGTTTCACACAAAACTGGATAAAATAATCGTTCTGCGCGCAAATGTTTAGAAATGTATTTTTAGAAATAGTTTAGAAATGTATTTAAAATTTAAAGTAGAGTTGTAATCAAGAGCACATTAACCGAAACCAAGAGATACCCGAGACCAGACAAATGAAGTCAAGTTTATTCTTTGTTTTAGAAGAGGGGTTTTCCTTCTAATCACAGAGATGATTTGTGAAAGAAGCCTATCAGTGGTGGTCTTGACCGGTCTTGATTTAAATTCTGGAGTCCTCCCAGTCTTAGACCGAGACAAGTCTGAGTCAAAATGCTTTCGATTCCGAGATGAGACCTTCAAAAAGTGCTCTCGAGACCAACACCAATTCAAGTACCACAACACTACCTAAAAAAGGTCTACTTGACAGAAACAACCTGAAAAGGTTGTCATCGAGATTAAATCCGGGCTCTATTCTTATATATTTTGTGTCTAAATAACTTTGATTTCTTTGGCCTGCAGTGCAAGTGAAAACCTTTTGAATAATTTAATGGTGTTTCTCACTTGCACATAACCCCTGAAATCTGCAGGGTGAGCTGCATGTGTGAACACAGTTTTCACTCCAACATTACCTGGAATTTTTCCTGCCAGCCCTCTGGTAAATTTTCCACGTAAACTTGGGGGGAGCTAATGCTGAGAATGCAGGAGGAAATATAAATGGAAATTCCCCATGAGCCAGCGGGAGGGGTCAGTGATTTTTATATCCTGTGACCATAGACTGTATGCACATGATCAGTGCAATCTCCAAACACGTAATGAAACTACGTTTTCTGTTCTCCAGTATGTTCTTCTCCGCTCTTTAGTTGATATTGTGATCATGTTGAAAGTAGTGATATAACCGTCATTAAAACGTCTAGTTCTGGTGCTTCTTCCACCATAACCATGATGTTCTTTTTTACGCCTTGCCTCCTGAGAATTCCCCCCTCCCATCTGACACGTCTCCTGCTGTGAGGTGCATGTGTGAAAAAGCAAGTCAGGAAGATCTCAGGGCAGGCTCTCTGGAGTTTTCCAGAAATCTTCAAGAGTGCATGTGTGGAAACGACTCTCAGTCACATTTACACAGTAGTTGTCTTTACATGAAGCCTTCATATCATAGTAAAACTCCAGCTGATCTGAGTATTCTGAGGACAGAGTGTTTTCCAGCTTCTTCTCCACCACCTGATCACAGCCAGTGTTTCCCTGCAGCTCCAGAAAAGATAGATTCCATCAAGATTAAAGCACTCAAACTACACTTTGGATTACAAAGGCTGTCATTTCAGCCTCCTGGGAGCAAGCTGTGTTCCTGTGTGTGTGTGTGTGTGTGTGTGTGTGTGTGTGTGTGTGTGTGTGTGTGTGTGTGTGTGTGTGTGTATGAGTGTTCGAGGAGGTGAACGGTATGTGTACACAGTGTGTGAGGATGCACGGCAGTGAGCGGTGCAGCTCAGTGTAAACCGCGGCAGGCTGAGAGCAGCGAGCAGCGGCGTAAACTCAGTATAAAAATAGCTAATAATGTTCCTCTGAAAAAGTGGTTCAGCTACAGTATTACTCACTCTGCACTCCCACAGATCAGAGTGTGTGTTCTCTGCAGGCACACACACACACACACACACACACACACACACACACACACACACACACACACAATACTCCTGCATGTGAGTGAGTGTGTATACATTCAATCAGAACATGCAAAGAGATGAGCACACACGCCAGTGCAGACTTGCAGGAGCCAGGCATGCATGTGCACACTAACGTACACCAAACACGCACGCACACATACACGCACGCACACACACACACACGCGCGCGTGCGCGCGCACGCACGCACACGCACACACACGCACGCACACACACTTCTCAGGCTGCAACATCCCGTTACATGAACACAGAATCAAAGGCTGGGATTAATCATTCTCTTTAGAACAAACTCAGAGACCACAACCCCCCCCCCCCCCCCCACCACCTCTCTCTCTCACACAACCCTCCCCCCTCTCTCCTCGGCTCTCTCAATCTGAACCAAAAATCCTGTTTCACATTGAAATGCATGCCTGTTTACTGGGTGATTAGAATTTCAAAGAAAAGGGAGAAAAGGAGACGAAGCGATAAAAAAAAGAGGAGAAAGAGAGAGTGAGGAAGAGAGAGGAGGAGATGGAGGAGGATGTGGGGGGG